TCTTAATTGCTGCCTATTCCTATAAAATAAGTGTAGTGAGGTACCTGGACTTCGCTGGTTCTAACACTTCCTCAGCATAGTGATTCCCAAGTGGAGTGGAGGAGCTTTCCCAAGCCCTTCCCCTCAGCCCAGAGCTCTGATCTGGGCCCCACACCACCTGGGAGCTGGTGCTACTCGTGGGGAAATGCAGCGGGTGGATCACTCCTATATCACTCCTATCATGCCAGGCCACACGGGCTCATTCTTGCCTTGCTGTGCCCTTTCCACACACATGGCCATGTTTAAAAGTAAATAAATCATGAAAGACAGTGGAACGAGATGGGTATCACTACCCCAAGTAGACGTATGAAGACACGAATGGTGTGACTCTACTTTGTGTTCAACCAGAGACATGAAAAATTATGCTCTATCTGTGTACTGTGAATTGAAATGCATTCTGCTGTCATGTATAACAAGTTAGAATAAATAAACAAATTTTCAAAAATAAATAATAAATCGACTGCAATGTCTTGGCCAGTAAGCTCCACACAATGACACTGCGTGGCCCATCCCGGCAGGTGCTATTCACCTATCACATCCAAAAGTACATAGTTGGTTGGAATTTCCCAGCCCACTGGGATGTGAGACCATGTGACTGGTTCCAATGAGTGATATGTGGGTAGGAAAAGAGCTCACAAGCTAGGGTGCGTCAGGATGGGGCTTCCTTCAACCCAGAAACCAGAGTAGCTGCAAGGGATATCCCTCCTAATTTGTGCTGAGCATGTGACATGATTGAAATGCAAGTTCTCAGTATGTGAAGTCACTGAGATTTGGAATCTCTTTGTTTCTACAGGATGACCTTAGGTTTTAGAATGAGGCCCTTGGACCAAGAGTATCTTGGAGCTTGTTAAAAATGCAAAATGTTAGCTCCTGCCCCAAGCCCCCCTAACAAACTCTTCTCATGCTCTGCATGGCTATCAGAGCTTGAGAAGCACTGGCCTCCACCACCTGGCAAGTATAGAAATTGTTGCCCCAAAATAGCCAAATCACTATACCCAAAGGTCCTAAAAACAGCAGCCACATCAATGTTTATAGCAGCACAATTCTCAATAGCTAAATTGTGGAACCAACCCAGATGCCCTTCAGTAGATGAAACGATAAAGAAAATGTGGTGTATATACACAATGGAATATTACTCAGCAATAAAAGAGAAGAAAATCGTGGCATTTGCAGGTAATTGGGTGGAGTTGGAGAAGAAAATGCTAAGTGAAGTAAGCTCATCCCAAAAAACCAAAGGCCAAATGTTTTCTCTGATAAGTAGATGCTGATTCATAATGGGGGGGTGTGGATGGGAGAAATGGAGGGACTTTGGATAGGGCAAAGGGGAGGGTTGGGAATGGAGGGGGCATGGAGGTAGGAAAGATGGTGGAATGAGATGGACATCATTACGCTAGGTACATATACGATAACGTGAATTGTATACAACTAGAGAAATGAACACTTGTGCTCCATTTGTGTACTGTAAATCAAAATGCATTCTGCTCTCATGTATAACTAATTAGAACAAATAAATAAATAACTTTTTTAAATGACTAAATCAACACTAAAACCAGTATGTAAATGGGAAGGATGACTGTGCAGGGTACGTGGTGGCAAAGAAGATGCTTGAAGGAAGGATACTGTGCAAGATGATGCAGGGAAGGTGGAAAGCAGAACAGGGGTCATGTGCATTGTTATTGTCAGCTGCATTTAATGAGATGTCATCAGGAAGAGATGCTAGGGACCTGCACAGGAGGAGGAGCCGCAATGAGGCAGCAGGTGACCCAGCAGGTGGAGGCCCTCCTCGTTACCAAATGGAACACGTAATTATTAAGATGGGAATTTCACGTTATGTATGTTGTATCATAAATAAAATAAATAAACCAATGAAATAGAATTCTTTAGTGATGATGCCATTGTGGGGGCGGGGAGAAGACTCGGGAAAATCCAGAAACCACCTTTTTTTTTTAAAGAGAGAGAGAATTTTTTAATATTTATTTTTTAGTTTTCGGTGAATACAACATCTTTATTTTTTTTATTTTTATATGGTGTTGAGGATCAAACCCAGAGCCCCGTGCATGCCAGGCAAGCATGCTACTGCTTGAGCCACATCCCCAGCCCTAAGAGACCACCCTTCTTAACCCAAAAAGCAGAAGATAAAACTAAGAAAGTTGACTAGCACAGGGCAATTAAAACTCAGATTGGGCACAAGGATCAAATCACGCCATGCTCTCACTGATGCTCCTAACTCCTCCAAGGGGATGCTGGAAGTGTCTCAGAGTCAAGTCCAAGGAGGATGCATTAGAAGGGTCCAGTGAACCCTCTCACTGGATAAAATGGCTGGGGGAGAATAAAATTTTTCCTCAAAGCCTGATAGACTCAGTGTACGCACAGTTGAGAGGCACGAAAAGTCTTGGGGGACAATAAGAAAGACACAGGATGCCAAGGAACAGGTCCAGATAGGCACTGTCCAGTATGATTGCCATGGGCCACACAATGTCGGTGAGCACCTGAACATGGCACCGTGTGTCCCCACTCTTCCCCCGCCTGAATGGGAGTGCCTGCGTGGTCCCTAGTCCAACATGGCTTTGGGATAATGGAGCAGATAAGCCGTCCTTATAGTGGATTGGTCTCCAGACATAGAGACAGCCTTGTTCAAAGTTATTCTCCCTCATCTCAGAACTCAGGTGGCACCCCCTGCACCCAGCAGTGAGGTTGCCATTACATTACGTGCAGCATCAGCCCTCGTTGTATAACATATAGTCTGTGGCCCATTGGTTTACATTTAATCCTATGTAGCATCTTGAAAATGTGTTTCCACATGTCTTTGATGGTCATATCCTAATTAACCCACGTTCCATAAGCTCCTGATGGCAGGGATTTTTCTGATGGGCACCATTTTCTACCCCCATACTAAGCCCACAGAACTTGATAAGCTCCAGATATTTGTTTTCTGAGACATAGACTTTTGGACAGTATGTAAAGTCAAATGTGAAGTTTTCTTTCATTTGTTAAACCATTTTGAATGGAGAAATGGACATCCTATAGACAATAAATATTTTCAAGTAGTCTTGGTCATAATCTGCCCATCATTGTGCCTACTTATTTTGCAGGAGCTGCCAACAAATTGATAGAAAGTCCAAAAGCCTTCCGAATCCCACACACCCCATGACCAGTTCAAATGGGCACTCTTGTCTTTCCATTTTTTAAAAATATTTTTTTAGTTATACATGGACACAATATCTTTATTTTGTTTATTTATTTTTATGCGGTGCTGAGGATCGAACCCAGGGTCTCTCACGTGCAAGGCGAGCGCTCTATCGCTGAGCCACAACCCCAGCCCCATTGTTAACATATTTTTAAAAATTGATATGTCCTTCCATTTCTTTGAACATATATTTTTACACCAAATAGATTTCCTACAGAAAAGGAAATTTAACCTACAACACCCTTCAAGATTTAAGAGTTACATGTATTTTAATTTTTATTCCTTTTTTTTTTGTGGGGTGGGGGTCGGTTGGGTATAGGAGTTGGCTCATTTACAGATATTGACCAAGTTGCTACATACATGTATTCCTTCCAACTGGAGACACATCTAAATACATGGGCTATTATTGTAGTACTTATATGTGGCTTAAAAGACATTGGAGAATTTCCTTAAGACCTTCACATAAAAGGTCGGACCTTGTACCGAGTCATGAAGCACCAGAACCGAGAATTAGCCCAATAAGAACTGAGTTCCCAAATGAGCCAGTTTTGTCCCACTTATGGAACTGGAACTCCAGTGATGTCACTTAGCACTCAGGGCTATTAGAAGATTTGACACATTTACTTACTACCTAACAAACATTAAATGAGTGCCTACTCTGTACAAGATGGGAGGCCACTGAGACAGAACCCAGATTCCCACGAGACAGCCATGGGAACACAGGGCTGGGGTTTCCATAATCATATTGTGATCACCTGCTTCTTGTTCATGATTACACACAGAAATTTTCAGCAAAAAGGAACAAAGAACATTTGAAGGGCTAGATGCCCCTTCAAATTCCAATTGTTAATAACTTACTCATTTGCCAGTTTCCAAAGATCTGGGTGTCTTATGCACTTTCCTATTGATGCCAGCACAAATTTTACCTCGACTCTGCACTCCCAAGGGTGAGCGTCATACCCACAGGTGATTTCTGTGACTACACCCAGGAGTTCCTCTGCCCCAACAGACTTCAGCAGGAGGGGCCCTCTTTGTTCCAGTACCTCACTGTTGTGTGCCCCTGATGATCTACTGCTTTATTTTACATATTTCCTTCTAGGTGTGAATGTCCAAACCAAAGAGAAAAACTCATACCAAGAAGCCATTAAAAGATTGGAATGTATACTTCACTTCAGATGAGGACCCTAGGATCCTGAGGCCACACAGCAGGTCTGCTGGTGTCCAGGCCACTATTCTGACCACTGACCTCTGCAATCTCCCTTAGTTTTTCTCCCATCTGGTTTATTTTTAAAAAAGAAAAAGAAAATCCTCCTAGAGCTTTACTGTTTACTGGAAGTTCTCATTTTCCTCAATACCATCCTGGGAGAGGTCAGCACAGACACAGAGAGTGAAATAAGATGTTCAGGGAAGGCCACACAGCCAGCGATAGCCGAGCCCGGGCCTGAACTGGGGTATTCTCACTCCACTCCAGGTTAGAGAAGATGGGGCTCCCTGGGTACCAGATTGGGCCCCCGACCTTCAACAGTTGCTAGAGTCAGGTTGAGATAGTGCAAAGTATCCACACACAAGGTTTCAGACACCAAGACTGACCCTGGGTGAGAAAGTTAGAAACAGCTCAGCCAGGGAATATTTTTAAAAATTGATAAGCATATTTTTAAAAATTGATGCAGCAGGAGAGGGGAGGGCCCTGACACACCCCCAAGTACTTGGAAACCCTGGATTGAGTCGGATAAGACAGTACGGAGTCATCATAGAGACTCACAACACACGAGGCAAGGTTTGCAACATCCAGTTTTATGTGTGGGTAAGTGCAAAACCATGACTGACAGAAGCATAGTTAAGGAAATTCCATCTTCAGACAATTATAAATACAAGCCACGAAGCCAGAAGTTCAGGAAAGGAGAGCTGTAGAGACAACCATACAAGTGAACAGGACATTTCAAATGGAAAGAATTCGACCTTCTATTCTTTCCTGGAAAGCATACGTTACTCTTCAGTGAACTGAGCAAACGATGAACCTGCTTCTGGGGCAAAAGAAAAAAAAAAGCAATCATATTTAACCTAGATATTCATACATTTTTAAACTTTTTTTTAGTTGCAGATGAACACAATATTTTTACTTTTATTTATTTTTTTATGTGGTGCTGAGGATCTTGAACCCAGGGCCTCACGCATGCAGGGCAAGTGCTCTACCGCTGAGCCTCAGCCCCAGCCCCTAGATATTCATGCTTTTTCTTCCAATAGCAGCCTGTTCTGCAGGCTTAGACTTACACCACTCTGTATGTTGTGCATTCCCTAAGTCCACACAGAGGGAGATTGGACTTGAGAAACAGCAGGATGAAAAGGGACAGTGAGAAATTGTCACAGGCCATTTCCAAAACAGAGAAGCAACATGCACACGTTTGACCTGACAGTGACCACAGGAGAAAAGGCGGACACATCTGAACTGGAGAAGAGATAAGGGGATCTCAGTTCCGATTCCTAGTGATCCTCCCTGCTCCTTGGCTGGACCTCACCGGCTCTGCCAGAGGAGAATTGAGAGCCAGAGAGAGGGTGGCGTTGGGATTAATACCTGCTAGGGAGCCTACAGCTCACTCTGAAGCCATGGCAACAAATGATCTCTTTAAAGGTCTTCCGCATTTCTTGGCTGCGGAAGGCATAGATCAGAGGGTCGATCACGGAGTTGCACATGATGAGGATCAGGTACATGTTGAAGTGGGACATGAAGCAGGAGCAATAGACGTTCTGCGGGCACGATATCATTAAGATGAGATGGAGGAAGAAGGGGGCCCAGCACACGATGAAAACCCCCAGCAGCATGGTGAGCGTGACGGCGCCCTTCATGCTGGTCCTCGGCCGCACAGAGCTGTACCCGGGCGCGGCGGCGATCCGCTTGACGTGGGTCCGCGCCAGGAGGAACATGTGTATGTAGAGGGACACCATGAGGAAGAGCATGGTGAAGAACATGGAGATGAGGCACACGATGACGTACGTGGATTCGTAGTAAAGGATGAAGACGATGCCGCAGCCCGTGCAGCAGGTCCAGATGCACGCGATGATGGCCCCCGAGCGCTTGGCCGTCATGATGTGGTGGTAGCGCAGCGCGTAGAAGATGGTGACGTACCTGTCCACCGCGATGGCCAGCAAACTGCACATGGAGGCCACCACGGAAATACAGATCATGGAGTCAAACACATTGTCAATGTGGCGCACAAAGGCGTCTGCCATCACCAGGTGCTTGTTATTTATCAGGTAGATGGTGATGGTCTCCCAGGCGTTGGACATGCTCACCAGCATGTCGGCCACTGCTAAGCTGCACACGAAGAAGTACATGGGCGAGTGCAAGTTCTTGTTCTTCACGATGGCGCCAATGACCAAGATGTTCTCCAAGAGGCTGATGAGACCCAGGGTCAGGAACACCTCCACTGCAATGCCCATGTCCTCGCAGGGAGACGACTTGTTCTTGACATTGAGTCCTGAAATGTTGCCCTCAGTGGTGTTCAGGCCGAGGTCCAAGAAATGCAGGTGAAATGAGGAATTCATGGCTGGGGAAAAACACCACCTCTTCTTGCCAGTAAATGTACTGCAAGACAGGATTTTTCAGAATCCAAAATGTTAAGGGGAGAGAGAGAGAGAGAGAGAGAGAGAGAGAGAGACTGGGGCAGGGAAAGAAAAACATCCCAAAGCAATCACAATGCAGGAAAGGGGGTGAATGAATGAACATTCTGACTTACATTCCTGATGCCCGGGATACTGCCCCTCTAACACCCAGACCTAGAATTTTCACAGCATTTTCTGATCTCCTTCCTGTAAACTGACATTTTTTCACCTACCTAAATGGCGTGGCGTTCATCTCTGTGTATCCAGGGTGGTTTCACTTTTTATGCCTGTTGCCCTGGTCCCAAGTTTACTCTCAAAAGTGAGGTCCCCTCTAGCCTACAAAAATCCCATAAAACCCCAACCTCTCTCCAGATTTTCACATTCCTAAGGCGGCTACGCCACATGCTCCTCCAGTGAGCACAGATTTCTCAAGACAGACATTTGCATTCTTCACATTGGCCCTGACTGTCTTCAAAACCCCTGCAACTGAGACTGCACAGCTACACCTCCAGAACCAAGACTGTGATAGTCTTACCTTGAGCATGATCTCACATAGAAGTTACTGCCTCCAGCTAGGTCCTAAGCTTCCCCGGTACAAACAGGTTTAAAATTGAGAAAAAAATGAGGCTGTTTCCCCCTCAATCAATATTTCCCCCTGTATTCTGCATTATTTGAAACTCCCCGAAAGTCTGAATAATAGCTTTGTAAGTTCCACGGGAGCGCAGTATGAAGAACCCAGCCATTTACATGAATCAAGGACTAGAGCCAGACACTTCAGTCCCTTTTTATTCTATTTCCCAGTCTTGATCTATATTCAAAAATCCTTTTGCCCTCCAAACTCAGAGCACACCTGGGGACAGAGAATTTCTGTCCTCATTCATACTGACAATCATAAGCATTTATGGAACCGGAATCATTTTTTATATATTTATGTTCAGTTCCATCCCAGAGATATCGACCAAGTATACTATGATATCACATCACATCCAGCTGTTTTAAAAATTCGCCCAGTGAGCTAGCCCCCTCCACCCTGCCCTCCTCCACCTGTGGGGTAGGCACGATTTTGCATCCGTTTCCAAGCAATTTCTAGGAAATAGAAAGTTGTGGCTATTTACCGGCGCTCTCCCTGGGCTCCGATCTTGCTCCGCGCTCAGCCTGGGCACCCGGCGTCCACGCGCGGGGACCGCCTCTGCGAGCTCAGGGCCATCACTGGGACGCGTCTTCCTCCAGCGGAGCGCTAGTGGCGTTTATGCAGCCGGCCCGCCCTTGTCGCCGCCCCTCGGACCTGAGCGTCCCTCCTCTCCACAACCTGTTCTCACCCGGGCAGAGCCCAGGAGTCTCTGACTTTTCGGTACCACCTAGTGGTCCAGCGCTGTAGAGCAGCACCTGCTCCCGCAGGCTGGCGCGGGGCCAGCCTTGGGAACCTCACCTGCAAGCAGCGACTGCTGCTCCTGAGAGCGCTGCTCCTGCCCCAAGTGCATCCGCCCACATGCTTTTTGTGTTGTTGTTGTTGTTGCCTTTATTCTTTTTCCTCCTTCTCTAATGCACTGATTAAAATGCTGTCCAGCTCAAAGATCATCCTGCCGTATGTTTCTCCGGGACAGGCGTGACTGGTGTACCCTGGTTCTCATTCTCCGGGGAAAGCCTGGAAGCCCTGGACGGGACTCTGCCCCACACACCCCTGGCAATGTAAGTACCATCTAATGGCACTGGGAGTTCTCATGCCAGGGCAGAGTCACAGAAGGGAATCTGCAGATTTCCTCTGTGGAGCTCTGTGCTGTGGGTGCAGAGAGGAAAGAGCTGACAAAATATATCAGAAGATTTGAGTTCCTTTATTTACTTCTTTTTGAAAGATCTGAGAGGGCTTTCTGGAAGATCCTGATTACCCAATAATATGCAAAAAGCAGAGTCTCCTGGGAAAGCAGTTTTCTGAATTATAGACACAGGGCCTTGGGCGCTGGCAAGGGGCATGCATCATTGATCCCAACGTGCAGATGTGATCCTAGTGTTGTGCCCAGAAGTCCCAGGAAGTGGCTACAATTGTCATTCCATCTCACAAAGGAGGGAACCTACACTTACATAGGTCACACAGCAAACCTACCTTCCCAGCCTTGCACAGATGGGACTTAGAATTCCAGCAGCCTGGCCAGGAGCTCAGGCATATTACCTGAGGAGACACTGCCTCCCGAAGGAACCCTGGTGGCTGTCAGGCTTTGTTTCTTCAAAATCTTGCTGGACTTATTTGCAGTTTTCTTATTTTCATAGTGTCTTTGTCAGATCTTGGTATTTAGGTTACCCTGACTTTGCTAAACAGACTGGATAGAGATTTCAGTGACTTTTTTGTCCTGAAACAGTTTAAGTGGAGGACTGACCAGTTTCTTGCAGAAAAATAATCAGAAAAATTCAAGGTCAATAAAGCTAAAAAGATGTAGTCAAAGCTCTCCAGTTGTCCCTGTCATTGGAAACTTTCTAGCTCCCAAATAGCACCCTAAACACCATGCGTAGCACACACAGTAGCTTGGTGCTGATGAGCCCCCCAAATTCCACAGGACTCACCGCTTTCCTCCAGGGAGGCCAGACCAACCACACAACAGACCCATTGTCATTATGCTTTACTTCTGTCTTACTTAGCTTTTCATCTCTGTGACCAGAAAAATTGGACACAAACAACTCAGAAGAGGGAAAGTTTATTTGGGGCTCACGGTTTCAGAGGTCTCAGTCCATAGACCACAGAATCCTTTGCTCTACAAGGTAAAGCAGTGCATCATGAAGGAAAGGCCAAGCAGAGGGAAATTGTCACCTGTGGTAGCAAGGAAACTAGAGTGGTGGTGGGAGAAGCACAGGGAAGGTGTACTCTTCTGGTCATGCCCCTGGTGACCCACCTCCTCCAGCCATGCCCCACCTGCTTACAGTTACCACCCAGTCCAGCCATTAAACTAAGATGGGCTGAGTAGGTCACAGCTCTCATAATCATTTTGCCTCTGAATATTCCTGCATTCAGAGGAGCTTTGTGGGGGGCATCTCACATCCAAACCATGACATCTTCTTGAACAATGACAACAGGGACGCTCCTCGTTCACATTCACAGAGAATACCCATGGTGTCGTATCTATGGAGGTTTATTAGGGCACAATCCCCTGGGGCACCATGAGGCACCAGGTTAGGGTCACTGGGAGGCAGGCTGTGAGATGCCGTGGGGAAGCCCTTGCTGACGGAACATTTGTCAGAAGCCCACAGCACACAGTACTGTGGTCTGCACGTCCATCGTCTCAGCCGATTCTCCCAGCAACCCTATAAAGTCAATATTCTTCACACCATCTTTTGCACGAGGAAGTCAAGGCTTAGAGCAGTCACGTGACTTCAGAGTTGCTGAGGAGAACAGGATCCAGATCAGAATCCAAGCCTTCCAGGAACACCTCTGCTTAATCCATAGTCCAGGGAGTTCAATCATGTGTCCTGGCCACATGGCTACAGAGAAGATGGCTGTTTCAGGTTCCCAAGGAGGGTTGGGGAGGAGCAGACGGGATGGGAAGCAAAGAGGTGAGCTAAGCTGGCAGAGAGGAAAGTCAGCGGGGGGACATGTGGCTGAGAACCTTAGGAGAGACATGGAGGGCTGAAGGGGACAAAGGTAACCAGATGGGAGGGGGCATGGGAGACTGTCCAGCCAAGGATGACCAGATCAGAGGGAGCTGGCTTCTTGCCAGAAAGGAAAGAGTGCCAGGGACCTGGCGAGGGAGGCAGGGCAGGGTCACACCACGCCTCTCCAGCACACTGCAGTCAAGGCTGAGCAAACAGGGCGTGGTTTGGACAGTAAGATGACCATCATGCCAACTAATGTATGTCCCTTCCTAGTAAGAAAGAGAGGACCTGAAGTTTAGGGACTCGCTCTGGGGCTTGGGGAGCTTTTCAATGCTTCACTATGCTTTTTTGTGTGTGTTTAATACTTTGTTGTGACCACCAGAAAGACCACTACAATGTCGTGCCATATCAAGCTAGGTAAGCCAAACTTCTCTCTGTCCTAGGGGAGGATTACTTGCTAAATGCCATCTATGCACCTCTGTGAAGAGGACTCCATCAGCATCCTTTGCACTCAGTATGAAGCTAAGAATGTCAGAGAGAAAGCTGACTAGAGAGGGTCCTTTCCTTCTAGAAGCACACAAGTCTAATCAGTAAGCTGAACTCACCATGTTCCTCTTGCAGGGTATTGTGTCACTCATTGTAGGGACTCTGAGATTTCTTAGCCCAGGAAGCAGATGATCTTTGGAAAGTTCACCACCACATCTGGAGAGAAAGGTAAGGCACTGACCTCACCTCTTTTTTTTAAGACGTTTCTTCTAGACTAGTTGCTACTTCAGACTTCCCCAAACAACTGCTGTTTTAATAATATGATGTTCTTAAATTCTCTCCTTCTCCTTTGATCATTAAACTCCTGCTCATTCGTTTTTTAAATATTTATTCTTTAGTTATAGGTGGACACAGTGTCTTTATTTTACTTTATATAGTGTTAAGGATTGAACCCAGGGCCTCACACATGCTAGGCGTGCACTCTACCTCTGAGCCACAGCCACAGCCCTCCTGTTCATTCTTTAGATGCCAGATCCTTCCCTCCTGCTGGGAAAGTGTCTGGATATCTCTCTGCATCTGCCCAAATGCCCCTTCCACAGCACCACCCCAGCTCTCTTCTTACCTCGAAGAACCACCTGTCGGAATCTTTCCCACGCAACCCAAGGACTCTTGCCAAGGCCCCCCTTGGTTCCCCAGTGGTCAGCGTTAAACTGACACCCCATGCAGTTAGATCCATATGGACTGTACAAGTCCTTTAGCCATAAGGATCAGTTTGAGGGTGGCCACGTGACCCCATCCAAAGATGAAAGTGGACATTTTTTAGGAAGCCCTAAGGAGGAAAAAAAATCTTACCTTTTTTTTTGATGGTAGCTACTACAAAGCTTTGCTCGATCCCCACCACTATGCATGATTGAGCAAAACCAGGATTTTACCGGGTTGTTGACCCATTGGGTCCAGCCCTGCTCCAAACCTAACCTTTTCCATACTTTTCTGCCTGAGTTAACATACTTCCTTTGTCATTTAAACAAGTTTGACTTTGGTCTTCTTATACATTCAGATAAGAAGATCCTGCAGTCCCAGAATTCTACTGTATGATCTCTATTTTTTTATTATGTTATTGTATCAGCTCCGTACAATGTTCACATGCTTAGAGAACAACACATGGATGCTGATTCTCTTCCATGTTCCAGAAGGTTCATTTCTGCATCAGAATTGGGAATGTGCTCTACGTTTTTGACAATATTCTTTGAGCATTTTACAACCTTAACTGTTTTCAAGGTGAAGAACTTTTGCTTGGTTCACATTTCACAGTGCAACTCTGGAGGGAGAATGACAATTTGAATTTATCATCCTGTCACTAAATTCATCAACATAATTGACTCAAGATATTGGTCTTCCTTATATTTCAAAATTCTGGTCTGCAAAAAAGTAATGTCAGAAGACATTGGGGGAAAAAATGCACCACAGATTTGACTAAAGAAGCAGTCCCCTCTTTCTACACCACCTAAAATTCAGTCCCCAAGAAACAAGGAACATACTCCCATGGAGAAATGGGCAAGAGATCCTTACAATTCTAGCTACCTCTCCTCTAGCTTGTAGGGGCCCAGGATGGCCACCCCAAGTAAGCCCAAATGAACTCTCTAAGACTAGAATAAAATTATTACTAGGGTATGAGTCAGCAAATGCTTGACAATGCTGCATAACAAAACACCCTAAAAAATACAAAGGCAGACAGCAAAAAAGTGGCATGTTCTCATGCTCAACCCAGCTGTCACTCAGAGAGGCCACTCTGGACTTCAGGCTCAAGATTTCAGACTGAAGGTTGTTTTGGGTCAGCTCAGGTCATGCTCCAATGGCTACAAGGGGCAACTCCCCACCATACTGGGAGTTCAGTATGAGAGAATATATTTCTTCAGGTTCCAGAGCAAGTGGTCGTTAATATTAAGGTTTGGCCTGTTGCTATTTACTTTTATTTATTCTATTTTTACAAACTCTCTATATTTACTAATTCAAAAGGTTTAGCTATGAGCTCTTTTGCAATTGCTCTTGTAAGAGGGACTCTGACTAATGGCAATAACCCTAGAGCACTCCCTGTCTGCTTTGAGGGTCACATCTGTTTCTGTTTGACTCCTTACCCAGAAAAAAAAAAAAAAAGCCTGTTAGGTCTTAGCTTTTAGATAGCTGCCATCATGCACCATTACTCAGAACTGTACAAAAATCTCACTTCATTTGAATAGAGATGAAAGGAACCAAGAAAGGATTCCACAGTTCCGCCATTCACTTCTGATGCCTGTCACCACAGGCAGACTTAGACTGACTTACTTATGGTGTCCTTTTTATCACACAGGACCTAATACACACATGAAATTGCTACTGGTCTTCAAAACACTGACACAGCCATGGAAATTTGCTGTGTGAAGAGGCTTTGCCAGATATGCTGTTCATGAGTTCTTTAGGAATGCTTCCTGGTCCTCTTAAGCTCCCGAAGTCACATATGCATGAGATATGGAAGAAAAGGCATGTATGAAAAAATACCTGTACAAAAATGAAGACTGTCTCATTTAAAACCTGCTCATTTCTTGTCTAATGTGTGTTACTATCCAATTCAATGTGTTTTCTAGTCATAAAAATGAAATCCAAGTAAACATTATCCAGTAACACAATCAGTGTAAATCCATTCTCAAAGACCAAAGCAAGCAACTGATTTTTATATTATTGCCACAGGTTAAGCAGCCTCAATCACACCTTTGTGAGACTTAATTTAGGAAAATAGTCCAAATGAAGGAAAAAGATGTAATCACAGGGGCTGGGGTTATGGCTAGCGATAGAGCACTCGCCTCACATGTGCAAGGCCCTAGGTTGGATCCTCAGAACCACATAAAAAAATAAATAAATAAATGAAATAAAGTTATTGTGTCCAACTACTATAAATGTTTTTTAAAAAGATAGAATCACAGAAATTTGTTGCAGAATTATTCATAATTGCAAAAAAAGAGTTGCAATTGGATAATAACAAACTAAATCACACGTCCACCAAGAGGAACATGACCCTGACTGTTGATCAACTTTTTGTCACTGACCAAAATACCCAACAAGAACAACTGAAGAGGAGGAAAAGCATAACTTGAGGCTCCTGGTTTCAGTGGTCTCAGTCCATGGCTGGCCAACTCCATTGCTCTGGGCCCAAGGTGAAGCAGACAATTAGGGAGGAGTGCATAGAAGAGCAAAGCTATTCAGCTCAGGGCAGCAGGAAGCAAGGAGAAGATAAACCCTCCCAGGGAACACCCCCAGTGACTCACCTCCTCCAACCAACCACACCCTACCTACCTACAGTTACCACTCGGTAGAACATTAATCCATGAGCTAGGTTACAACCCTGATAATCCAATCACTTAACTCTGAACATCCCTGGGATGCCACATGAGCTTTACAGGGGCCATCTCATATCCAAACCATAACACCCAGTCACTGAAAATTGTGACAATCATTAATCAGCTTTAAAATGATTACACTACTATACACAAATGCACATTTTGTTATTATGATTGCAATTGTGTTAGAATTTTTATGCACTTGGACAAAAACTAGCAAGAAATAAAAGTGAAATGGATTAGAGGAACTCTGAGTTCAGAAATTATTCGATTTTCCCTATTTTCCAAAACTTTGAACTTACTGATTTTATAATGTCTAATCTGGCACATAATGGCTTCTGGCATTAGTGAGTACCAAGTTCCAGATGACCCCTGGTCCCTTGAAAACTGGACAGTGCTCACAAAATGCTTGATGGTGTGTGCAAATGACAGGACACCACGCAGATAGGGGTCCCCTTTTACTGAGGTGTTTCTCTTCATTAAGTCCCTGAGGATTTTAATTGACATTTGGAACCTTTAAAATTACTATTAAATACAATAAGCAAAACTATCATATGAGATTGTTCCTAATTTTGTCTTTATCACATCTGAAGAGCTCATATTTTATATTAACAAGTAATTTCAACATCTCCACTTGAGTAATAACTTTCCCACCTTCTACCCAGCAAGAGAATCCTTTGCAACAAACCTCTGTAATTCCCTTTTTCTACCCGCCAAGAAATGCCTTAGATGCTTTTTAAATTTTATTTTTAGTGCATTGTAGTTACATATAAGTGGGGTTCATGCTAGTTTTTAGTTTGTTTTGTTTTGTAGTGTTTTAGATAAATATAATGGCTGGAAAAAATACTGGGAGCATCTGCCCTGGGAGTGTTGATCTTAACTCATTCCAATCCATCAGCTTTTGTTTTGCTCATCCTTGCTTCTCTTCTGGAAATACAAACCGCTGATGATGCAATTGCCTCCCTTAGGGTCCAGCACCACCATCCCCGCCCCCCCCCCACTGTTTGCAATACACTTCTGCATGTGGCTGTCCCCCTCAAGGCATTTTCCTCTGGCTGTTAGAGGAAAGAGGAAAGAGGGTTTCTTCTTGCTGGATTTCTGACAGCACTCAGCCCAGAGCCCTGACTTAGGGGACTCTTTGCTGCCCTCTCCTGGTCATAGGGGGCACTTTCTCAGCTATCCCAAGAAAACCTACC